CGGCGAGGTTTGTGGCTAGCTCCGGCGACTTCACACCAAATTGACAGCACCACTACACTCCTTACACTCTTAGGAACACTTAGGAAGAATTTTGAAGATGAATGGTGAAGAAATGAGAAGAATTGAGTTTCTTATATAGCAAGAGGAAGAGGAAGAAGACATGGGAAGCTGAGTTGCTGCTGCGTAGGATTCCCATTTCACGATTCATTCAGCGATAAAGAGATTCAGCACGTTACTCCCTGATTGGGACTAATTTTGGTCCCAGTCGGGGTACACTTTTTGGTCCAACTTTCTCCAAATTGAAATCCGTTTGCACCGTTGCGATCGGACAGTTAAACTCTATCCAACGATATAATTTTTATATTTATTCGTTATACTTTTTCCGACATCACATTTTTGGGTGGTTGACTTTGACAGAGTCAAAATTGATTTGTTTGACCTTTACTCAAAAAGGTGCTCATATTCAATTCATATTATTTATTTCCATGATTTATTTCAATAAATCATTTCAAAGTTCACATTATAAACAATTTCTTCATTTATTTTTAAATTGGGTCTGTACTCAGGTTCCCAACCAAGATCACACAATAGTCAACAAATTGGGTTTATCTCTATGAGTTTTATCCCAAATATGTTTATTGGATATCAACATATATTTTATTTTGGCCTAAAGCCCAACAATAATTTATTTTAATCAAAACAAATTTGATTAATTGAATATTTATTTATTAATAATTCTAGGGTATGTTTTGGGGCGTTACATTTCTCCCCCCCTTAAAGGAATTTCGTCCTCGAAATTCTTCTAAGGTCCGACGTTCAACATTTTGTAGTGATCTCACTTAATCATGACCGCGTCATGTTCATTCAGTTAAATCATAATCACGTCATTATCCACATTGATAGTTATTCTCAAACTGTCGATGTTACGCAACTCGTTCTTTCTTCAAGAGATTAACAATCTTTCATTAAGCAAGACATTCAGTGATCCTTCAGTGTCAACAACTAAGGTTTCTTTGGAATGTATACGGTTGTATATTTGACATACTCGCTCATAACTTTGTTTATTCACAATTCCCAATTGTACAACGTTGATTAACGATATTTCTTCTTTTGATTGAAAGTCCTTCAGTAGCCTTTGCAGTTTCAAATTAGCAAGTTCGCGATAGATGTAGTGGGAGATTAGAGTTGTCTTCAATTCACACATCATAACGTAAATTTCACTTTGAGATAACTTTGTATCGTTCACATAGTTCAACAATGATTCACAATTACGTCAAAGGTCTTTTAGTGGTCCAAGATTTTCAAGATATAAGATTTTTCATCATTTAGGAGGAAATACTATCTATCAGTTGTACAGTAGATCATCATTCATCGACCTTATGTCGAAACATTTCTTCATTCATCTTCATGGTTGCTCTCATTTATCGTTTTTTATGAGTCTTCGTACTCATAAGTGATGACGTTTGAGTAGCGTCTCATGTACGATTTGTCGTATTCAAACTTCTTTTATTAATTTGAAAACATATCTAGATATGATAGCGACAGATTCGATTGTAACACTGTTGTTGATCTTGTTTCAAGGGAAAAAGAGAATATCTTCAGTACGCAATTCAATTCATGAGTTCATAGAGTGAGGAATTTTTACTAGTTCTTATACCAACATCGCATATAGGTTCGGGATCTTCGCTTGAATGATTCAGCCTGTTCCTGTGACGTCATTTCTTCTCTGGTTGTCGCACAAACATTTTCTTGCTAGGATTCTAACAATATCATCGATAATAATCTTCAGAGATAGCGTAATCGTATTAATCGTTTTGTAGTCCACAAAGAGAGGTTTAACATAATGTTTAAGTCAGGGTAGTTTTACTATTGTGATCGAGTCACGTATTCAATAGGGTATAGTTTCCAAAGATCGATATCATGGTATCACTGAGTATTGTTTTGGTTTCAATGAAGAATCATGGTTTTAGTATTTTGATACAAAGAATGGAATTCAATCTTTTCAAGATTGATCAAGCGAGATGTTTTCAAGGGTGTAGTTAACACAACAAGTTTGAGTATTTCAAGGATATGAGTCACAAGATACAAAGATAGCATTTGCGAATTATCGTTACTAATCGTAGGTTTTCTTCCTTCAATGTTTCACTCTTTGGAAGTTACTCAAGAGGTCGTTGTCTTAAAAAAAAATAGCCATTTTGACTTTTCGTCTCGGATTTGATCATATTTCAGAACATCGAATCTAACTATTCATTAGTCTCAACATATCACATTGTCAGCAGACTATAGTATTGACGACTACACTTCCGTCTGTAGATAATTGAAGCAAATCCACTTTTCTGTACGTATTTTGGCTGGTGATAATAACCTTTCCATCAATGGTCAGGTTTTAGAGGCTATATATATCACGATTATGGAAAGAATATCTCACATTCTTACATTATGGAAGGAACTTCTCGAGCTCTTTCTTATACCATAAGATTCATTGGTCTACTTGGTAGTCATGCTCTTGGTAGCAATCCAAGGTTCATGGCTACAGCGGTCGATTTAGGACGGGAATTGGTAAGACGAAAAATTAGGCTTACCTACGGAGGAGGCAACGTTGGCCTTCAAGGAGCTGTAGCTTCAACAGTCTATAATAATGGTGGTAGAGTTAGAGGTTTCATACCAGGATATATAGCAACACGACAGGTTTATGGACCTACATACGGTGTAGAGTACACCGTTTCCAGCAATTACTATAAGTATTTCAAGATGAATCATATTGTGGAAGCCTTCATCGTACTTCCTGGAGGGATTGACACTATGGAAGGTTTATTCACTTTGATCTCATGGGCATCCGAAGGTTTACACAGTAAACCCATTGGTCTTTTGAACATTGACGGTTATTTCAATAACCTAATCAAGTTTCTAGATGATGCGGTGAGGCAGAACTTCATGGCTTTGAATTAGAGGAAACTGTTCATCTCTTCTTTCTTTGTTGATGAGCTTTTAGACAAACTAGAGTTTGTTAGAGCTTTTCCGGGTCCTGGTGCAAATTATGACGAGTTCGCAAATCCCGGGGGATTAGATTTGGAGTTACATTTATAATATTACTTCATGTATCCCAATTGTATTTGTGTCGGAATGATATTATCCTTAAATATTATTTTACGTTGTATGGCCAATGCGAGCTACATCTCTTAATTCTTCAGTCTTTCACTGTTGGTGTCATTGTTTCACGTCTTGTTTTTAATTTGTATCGTCACCACGTCGCAATCTTTCATGTCAATAGGGTATACGAACGAGTCAATTACTTTTACTTCATTATTTCAATCAGACTACATTGACGTTTTCGATGATAAGCAATTAGGTCATTAATCGCTTCATGACAAGGCATCAGTTCATTCAACAAGGTTAACAAGCAGGTTATTTGAATTTGATCAAATAAGTCGTCAGTTCATAGTAAAGGATAGCAATTCTCGATCGTCAGTTTGTTCAAATCTCCTATCAAGGATTTGTGAGTATCTTGACCGTAAGTCAATCTTAGAGAATACAATGAAATCTCTTAGCTGATCAAATAAGTCATGATACGAGGTAAAGGATAACGAATTATTTAATCGACACTAGTTGATATAGAGTTTCATTTATTCGCGTATGAACAGAACAGGAATTCTCCCAAGGAGGAAACACTTGGTCAAATGATTCTTTGTTAGGAAGTCATTGATGAGAACACGTTCAATATAGAGTTACGAATATTGGTCCTTTCTCGGATCAAGATTGGCAGGGAATTCCATTTCTCGGAACGGTGAAGTATTAGGAAGTTCATATCAGAGAGGTGACATACTCTCGGTACGTTACTTCAGTTCAGATGTTTCTTTTCGAGTAGACTTCACACGAAAAGATTTTTTACGCTCCTTTTTGGTTGAGGGGTTGCACACATAAATTCGAGATGAACTCGGTCGGTTTAGAAATCAGCTTTGCTTTCACCTATATAAGGTTTCCACCATCGATCTTCATTTGAAGAATTCTTCGTCAAGAGTTGTCAATACCAACGTCGTTCGATCAGCCAATGTATACTAATGATAATTATCAAATTCATTGTATGGTATTTCAACGAAGTTTTGCAAGGAGTTGTCGCTTAACAAACGATTTCAATTCACATTAAGTAATCGCATAACGTGTCCTAATGAGTCAAACAATAGTATCGGATACTTCACATAACAGAGTTTATTGATTCTAAACGTTCATGTTTGAACCAGCGATTAGATCGTCTTGAGTCTACATGAGGATCTTTGTCATCGGCTTCACAGCGGTTTCTCAACAATTATCGTTTCTTCATAGTCGTCTCACTTTCGTATGACTTTGCGATGCAGGTCAGTTTCGTCCTTCGCGATGCGATGCGTACGTTAATAACGGATCAGAGGGTCATATATTTTTCATTCATTCTTGCGTCTCTTTACTGAGTACGAAAGTTTTATTAGAGTCTAAGCTCAATACAATTTGAGTACTAATCAATTGTTATTCAATGAGAGTTCTAACAGAGTAAATATTTACCAAGTAATTTCTCATACCTTTCCTAAAGAAGAGGGACGCGAGAGTCGTGGATGTGATTGACTCAATTTTTTTTGTTTTTAAATTCAAATTTTGATCCGAAGATCGATTTTAAAACCATTTTGCTCTGATACCAAATTGTAACACCCTAATCCGTCCAGGTCTGCAGCCCCTTTCGGACTAAAGTATTAACTTGGTAATCGTAAAATTTAAAACATTTCAAACACTTTTATTTATCACAATAATATTTTTCATATCATAAATAGTACAGAGTTTTCAATATTGCGGAAGCTTAACAAATTATAACCACAAACATAATTTATTTATATTCTTTAATTCAAAACCATCACATCCATTCCGACTATCTCGCCTCCGTCTGCCTCCAGGATCACGTCACATTATTCTATTGACCTGCGTGTAGCAAATAAAACATACTACACGCTCAGCGGTAAAGCTGAGTAAGCATATCTAATGCGTCGAACATCCACATAAATTGAATCTCAATTCATAATCAACCATTTGATATCATGCACATAATGTTCAGTTCAGATACTCAATAATCAATATACAATTTTCAACATTCATTATTCAATTATTCAACATGTATATTCATCATTCATATTCAACATTTTTATTCAACATACATCATACAATATTCATCATTTGTCATTCAACAATATCCTTAAACTATTCTTAGTCTAAGGCCAATCTATTTGATGTTTACCAACTCTTAAACGAATTCTAGTCTAACATAGTTAAACTATATTCAAGTTCAAGGTACTCTTATCTAACCCTTAAGCTAGGCCTAGTTTAAGATATAAATTTTCAAA